TAATCAATCTTGATATTCACTTGAATAAAACCAGTTAAATTTACCAATTTGTAGTGACAGGTGATGGTAGACAGAATGTGGAATGCAAGATATAATTTTTGGGGGTGGGTGGGTACTGGAGATCGAACTCAGGTCCTTGCACTTGCACAGCAAACAGCAAAACCACTGAGCTAAATCCCCAGCCCACAAGATATAATTTTTAAAATGATCTCAACTAGATTGAACAGCTTTTTCTCCATGATATCCCCAGGGCATAGCACAAAGACTGCCATGCAGATCTTGCAAACTTACTTTTCTTTGTGGCAAAGTATACATATCACTAACTCCCCATGTGGGAAGTAGTCATTATACTGCAAATGTACTAATAAAAATAAATAAATAAATGCAAACTTTATTGAAAGAATGAATCAATTAATCAAAGCCAACAAAATGAAATTTAACAAATAAAATTAATTTGTTCAGATAAAGAAAAGACTAAACCTGGTTTGATAGTAATTTAGATAAATATCAAACAATTGCAGTTCATTACTAACTCAATTTAAGCCAAGAATCCAATTAACAGAGGTAAAATACCTAGCAAAATTAATTTCACTGCAATTTGTTCAAGTCAAAGTAGTAAAATGCAGAACAATTATTCTTGTGGCAATAGGCCATTAGTATGGATGCTTTAAAGACCCTTCATTGGCTAGATATTCTGATCCTATGATCCTGACGGTCTTGCTCCCCCCCCTTCTCCATTTTACTTTTAGTGTAAATACTAAATTCCATCTGGACATCACCTTCTGAAATTGACATTGGCAAACTAGTTGTTCAACTGTTCTATACTGTCTGGGTAGTCAGAAAATTAATAGATATGGGAATCTTGTCAGGGGATATAATTGAAGTATCTGTTGTTGTTGTTGTTGTTGTTGTTGTTGTTGTTATTGTTGTTGTTTTAACTTGCAAAAAGAAAACAGGAGAGGCCTGCTTCAAATATTTGAATAACTGTCTTAGGAAAGATACATCTCAGTCATTCTCTATGTCACCCAAGGAAAGCATATAAAAACTACAGAGAAACAGATCTTGCTTTAGTGCAAAGAAGGGATTTCTATCAGTTAGATCTGTCCAAAAATGAACTATCCTACCTTGCAAAGAAAGGAACACTTCATCACTTTAAGAGTTCAAGCAAAAACTAACTAATCTACAGAGATTTTGCAGAACAATTATTCTTGTGGCAATAGGCCATTAGTATGGATGCTTTAAAGACCGTTCATTGGCTGGATATTCTGATCCTATGATCCTGACGGTCTTGCTCCCCCCCTTCTCCATTATCATAATCTCGTTTTATGAGTTGTCTTCTTCCAATTTACTGCTTAATCACCTATCTTTATTCTTATTCCAGTTATTCCTATTTACTCATAAGATATTCCTTCTGAGAAGATTAATTTTATGTGTCAGTTTGACTGGGGTAAGAGATACCCAGATAACTGCTAAAAAGTTATATGGAGGTGTCTGTGAGGGTATTCCCAGAATATATTAGCATTCAGGTGGCTAGGCCATCACCAAGGCAGGTAGGCATAATCCAATCTATTGGGAACTGAGTGGAACAAAATTATACCGGAAGAATAAATTGATTTTCTGCTGAAACTGGGACATCCATTTCACCTCCATTCAGATATTAGTTCTCCTGGTTCCCAGGCATTTGAAACTTGGACCATATTATAGCACTGGTTTCCACCGTTTTGCAGTTTACAATTTGTGGGAGTTCTCAGCCTCTATAATAGTATCAATCAATTATTCCTTCTGTCTCTCCCATGCCCCTCTTTCTCCAAATGATAGATAGATCGATGATAGATAGATGAACAGAGTACCCCTGGGTTCAATCCACAGTGCCAGAAAAAAAAAATCACAACATCTTTGCTGTAATAATCAATGGTTAAAGCATTTATTTTCATTCCTCTTGCTCTGTAGAGGCACTGTTAGCTATTTCTTTTTACTCTCTTCCTTTTCCAATCATTTTCATTTCTTTCAATAATCTCTTTTCTTTCCTTCTATTCACAACTCATAGCAGTTTCCTAAGGTACTAGTGCTTTCTATATATAGGTTTTTGTTACCATTTTTGATGGCAGGATTAAGATAAATCTTAAATTCTTAACCTCAAAAATGTCAGTGATACAACACAACTAACATTGTCTGTATCTCAAAAACTAAAAGAAAGAATATCAAATGCTTTCACCACGAAGAATGACAGATGATTGAGGAGACCTGTTTAACATGACGTAAATGTTACATGATGTGTACATGTGTATACATATATCACATGATACCAACTACTATGTTTAATTTTTGGTTTTATGTATCAATTAAAAAGCAAAGTAAAAAATGGGAATGTCACAAATCAGTACATCGTATACCTGAAGATCCTATCAGTCCTCTGCACATTACCTACATTTCAAATTTCACCTGAAGTTGTAGAAACAAACACAGCTATTAGCAAATTTTGTAGAGAATGAAAACTCTATTCCCGAAGTATTTACAAAGTTCATTCTTCAAAGAATTCTCCCATTTCCTATCAAATAGCCACTTGGGTTTCTTATCATTATTCTAATCATACTCTATATCGCTTAAAGTTTATCTAAATTTGACCAGATATTGGCTAAAAATGAAATATCCCCCATTCAAAAGTTTCCTCCCCATTCAAAATCACTGGCAGTGCAGTTGGAGTATGTGGTTTCCAGGTGGATATAGTTTTTTTACATGTGAGATCTCAGGGTCTGAACAAATGTGCATCCTTTATAAAAGGTCTAGGCAACAGCTGTACAATGAAAATTTCTGAGATGAAAATTTTTTTTCTATACTGTTCCATACAAAGCCGCAAGTCACAAGTGACTATTGAGAATGTAAAATGTAGTTAGTACAACTGAAGGAATAAATTTTCAATTCTTCTATTTTTAAAAGAAGAAACATAACTGATAACATTAACATATTACTATTACTGTACCATAATATAATGTAGCACCAAAACTGGCTTATCCTTGTAACAAACATTTATAGAATACACCAGTACTATATATAGGTTGCCATGCTAAATGAGCAGCTCAGAGACAATTGGATACAATAAGTAAATAAAAATTACAATAATATAGTTTTATTTGCTATTAGAGACTTTTTCTTTTGTGGTACTGGGGATCTAACTCTGGACCTTACGTTTGCAAGGCAGGTGCCGGAACCACTGAGCTAAATCCCCGGCTCTAGAGACTTCTTAAAATTGTTGGGACACAGGACACAGCAAATAGAATATTGTTCATGGGTTTCATTAAAAGTTTTATTTAAGGGCCAGGGATTTAGCTCAGTGGTTTTGCCACCTGCTGCACAAGCACAAGGACCCAAGTTTGATCCCCGGTAACAAAACAAACAAAAAAGTCTTATTTAAACTGGGATAACATGTTGCAAAGTAAAATGGAAAGAATGGGGACTATTGTAGTGGACAGGCATTGAAGAAAATGGATGGAGTCCTGTAAGGGTTAAGGTGTCTTTTAACTACAAACTATTCCATATGCATCATGCAGCAGCAGCAGATGTTAACAGGAAATAGGCTCCAAGCTGACCGTGAACATTTCAAATGGTAAGCAAAAATTCAGAGCCAAGTGATCACATAATACAGTATACTTCCATTATTATTTTTGTTTGTTTGCCTGCTTGCTTTTTTCTGTACTGGGGATTGAACCCAAGGCCTTCACATTGAACAACCCTCACCTCCTTCCACCAATACACACACCTTTGTTGAGACAGGGTCTTGCTAAGTCCCTAACTTGCTCAGGCTGGTCTCAAACTTGCTACTTCTTGTCCCAGTCTTCCAGAAGCTGGGATTACAGGTGTGCACCACAATATTCTTTGAATGTTTATACTTTATGTACTTATTTTTTAAATCCACTTTATTGGATGTGTTTTGTTGTGCTATGTTCTCCTTATCCACCAGTGTACTCCATGATTAATCATTCAGTACTTGTTTATGAATAAATATTTCTGCTTGTTCTGCAGCCTGATACTGCTTGACCCAGACTACCTGCTTCCAAGTTACCTCTTTGACTTCCAGGATTCCACCTGTTGATCCAACGTCAGACTGCCAGAAAGCATCAGTTTGCTATTATGCTCAGTGAAAGTTTTTATGACAGAGCTCTAGACAAGTTAAAATAAAGCTGAAAAATAGAATAAGTACATTCGTGGCCCTGGATGTGAGTTATTCAAAATGATAGATGGGAAAGGAACTGAAATGACTCCTTACCAATTGAGCATCCGATGAAAAGGAATAACGTATTTTTTGAAGAGTGGGATATAAAAGTAAAACAGCAAGAGAAAGGTACTCCAGAGTAAATATCAACTCTACTTATCCTAACGTCGAGAAAATGTGGTACTGTAGTAGCCAAGAACTGATTACTTTATGTTTAGATTTCATTATTTGATGAAGCTAATCTTCCCCATAAGAGAATTAACAAAGGCTCTAGTATACATGAAAGCACTCCAACAGCATTCATGACATCCAAATTTATTCCTTTTGCGTGAGCCACAGTAAACTGTGGTTACCTTCAGGTGTGGGCCCCGCGTGTCTCCCAGAAATGTATTTCGCGGCCGGCCCAGTAGAAATCAAAACGATTCCCTAAACAAAGTGGACTGGACAAAGTTAACAGGCAGAGAAAGAAGAGGGGATGCAGATCATAGGCGTGAGCACATCTACACCCCGCCCACTCCCCCTAAAAAAAACAAAGAACCGAAGAAAACAGTGGCTAATTATCACTCTGCAAAAGCAGTAGGAATAATGCAAACATCTGTAACAACACTCTACACACGCCACGCGGTCTCTCTCCTCATCGGTTGGGCATCATCCCATACCCTTCCTGAGGTCTCCTCAACCCCGCCAGCCAAAGTAGAGTGAGAGCGTCCGCGGAGGGTGGGCGGGGCCGAGATCACGGCTACGCTCTCGAGCTGGGCTTGCGCGTTTGGTATTGCGTCAGAGGTGGAGATTCTTGTCCCTGCGCGCGGCCCGTCCCGTCTCTGTGCCTCCACGACTGTGCTCCTGGGGTTGACGTGTCGGCAGTTCCTCAGAGTCGGCTAGATAGGTCGTGATGGCGGACGCCTGGGAAGAGATTAGGCGGTTGGCAGCTGACTTCCAACGGGCGCAGTTCGCCGAGGCTACGCAGAGGTGCTGGACCCTTCCTCTCCATTGTGGAATCCAAATTAGGCCCAGGGTGGTCTTGTCTGGAACTGAGACTAGATCTCTGGTGTTGGACTCCGGACCTTCTCTGCCTTGGCCAGGTTCTCTTCCCTTCGCCCGAGCCTGGACCACAGTTCCGAGTCCAAGCGTCTGCCCGGAAACCCTCTAGCTAAGACGCCCCAGAGCCAGGGCCCCGCTCCAGCCCGGTGTTGGCGCCCCACCCCAGCGATGGCCCAGGCTGGTGACTTCGGGCTGTTGAGTGTCCCTGTGAGCCTGCGCACCCACCCTCCGCCAAGACCTCGTGGCATTATTGCTTGCTGCGCTTCTGGTCTAAATGAGTATGAAAGGAGAGACGAATTCCAAATACAGTACTTTGCAAAGAGCACGTTCATTCTGTAAATTTTTTTCTACGTTTTTGTGTATAACAGATGTAGGCCAGACCCATGACGCCATCTGTCTTTTTAGGGACTCCAGGCCACTGACATTTTCTACAAACATATGAACCCTTGAGGGATGTATCTGAAACACCCTAACATTGCTCTTCTTCGTTATTGTGCATAGCGAACAGAATCCTTTTTATCCAATAACCCTATGTGGAATTTTACTCCTGGACCCGAAGACAGTAACCTCTTGATTCTGTGCTTTGTAGCACCGAGAGGTAAAAACAAACTGGGGCACAGTGTGTGACTGTCCAGTAGCAGTTATGTTTTTAGTAGGCCAGATCTCCTATCTGCAGACTAAATGAATGACTGAGACCAGTATGCACTTTTATAAGAGAAGTTTAAACTAAAAAGTGAAGTGAAACTAGGGCAAGTGTTCTTCTACCTAAATTACATCTCCTCAATTTTATATTCATATTTGAAGATTCAAAGCAAGCCTAGAAGAAAGCAAATTTGCCATTTCTAGAATGATGTATATCGGTTAAGTAAATTATTTAAGTGTGTGTAAACCTGCTTACTCTCGAGATTTTTTTAACTTACTGAATCAGTATTGTATAATAAAAGGTATAGATTTTGTAATATAAATGCAATGACTCTTTACTCAAACTTTTTGAAGGCCTGTGTTCATACGTTCTATCTTTTATTGAGTATCAATTTATCAAAATTTTCCGAAAACTTTTCTTTTTTTCCCTCAGGTTGTCAGAGCGGAACTGTATTGAAATTGTGAATAAATTGATTGCTCAGAAACAGCTAGAAGTAGTTCACACGCTTGATGGAAAGGAATATATTACTCCAGCCCAGATTAGTAAGGAAATGAGAGATGAGCTACATGTCCGAGGTGGTAAGTAATTTCTCAGTAGTTCCCTATTCCTGGATTTGGGGGAGGCTAAAAAAAAAAAACCTACTTTAAAATCACTAAGTAAATGAGTTCTTTAGAGGTTATAGAATACCTTTCTCAATTTTTTCCTTCCTAAAATTCCTGGGGGAAGAATAATCCAGGGCTTCTCAAATGCTAAGCAAACTCTCATTGGACTATAACCCACTTCTCAATTGTAAACTTGGTAATTAGCCTTAATATTTTCAGTAGGTTCATGCTCAAATATTATCACGTAATAAAATAGTGTTTTTTATTAGTTTGTATTATACATACTGTATGTGAGTTAACTTGTTTCTTTTTACAGTTCATTAGTTTATTACATGACCCAAGAGAGGGTGCTTAGCTGCCAATTATCAGGTGGTAATTGTGGAAGAGAAAAGGGATTTTTAAAAGATTATAGATTAAGGATTATAGGTTGTTTTCCTTTGCCTTTTTAAAATTTGAATAAACTACTGAGCAAATTGAATACAGTCTGATTAAAGTAGAACCAACTCTTTACTACATGTTTTAGAGTGTAATCTTGGTGTTTTTTTTTTTTATCTTCCTGCAAACTTCTAATAATGTATGAGGTATAGTTTGTAATACTTAACAGATTTTCTTTTGCTATCAGAAACCTACCTTTTAGTTTCAAATAATTTGAAAAGAAATTCATCTTAATTTAGTTATCAAAATCTCTTTGGTCACAATAGATAAATTCAGAGTTGTGATGTCAACTTTATGTAATTAAAAAAAAATGGAAAATAAATTATTGCTTATGGCTTTAGCCATAGAATAGCAAATGGTTTACACTGAAGACATTGATGATCATGGCTCTTTGTACTTTGTAGAAGGATTTGGACTGTTCAGAACGTATCTATTAGAATTTAACACTGCTTGGCTAGTTTGTACAGACACATAATTTCAAATAAATGAATGTCTTTTCTTTAAAGGTCGAGTTAACATTGTTGATCTACAACAGGTAAATTTTATAAAGTTTTTGCTTTGATTTCTCAAATTGTAATGTTATGAATTTGTTCAGTACTTTTAAAGGTATTCACTAATACTTATATTTTGAATATTTGTGAAGATAATATTGATATGTTTAGTATCTACATTTAGTAATATTGAAATATTTAGTAAGTTCTGATACATTGGATTGATTTAATGAGTTCTTCTTTATTGGTTGATTGCTTAGCACTTACCAAATCAACTCAAATACCATTTTATGTAGCTGCAATTTTTGTAATTTTTGGAAGAAAAATTACTAGAGTTTCATATTTATGTATTTAGAAAGTGGAAGTAAGAAAGTAGAAGATATTTTCAAAAAATGCATATGTGATTGCCAAGGTACGTTATATACAGGAAAGTAGAAAATCTGTAAAATGGTGTCTATCATATGTAAATACAGTATACTGCTTAATACACATTTTGGTAGCAATTGAAAGTAATTCTTCAGAATTGAAAATAAAATAAGTAATATATCTCTAATTTTTCATTTGACTAAGGATTTTAAAATATTTCATATCAATTCAAAATTTATCCAAGAGCAAATAACTTCTTTAAAAAATATAATTCTAAATGAATTATTTCAATCTTAAGAAACATTAAAAACTTATTTTAATAGAATTTCTGTTTATTTTCCAGGTAATTAATGTCGACTTGACTCATATTGAAAATAGGATTAGTGACATTGTTAAATCAGAAAAACATGTGCATCTAGTTCTGGGACAACTAATAGATGAGTAAGTACAATATTTAGGAGGACTTTGTTTTCTTTAGTATTTAAATTTAGACCTGTTGAAGCCAGGTAGCCATTTTGTTTAGAGTTGATTTTCATTATAAGGATCATCCCACTTAAAAAGCAAGTGCATAATTATGTGGAATACATCCTCATAAATAATATAAACTTTTATCTTTTTACCTCTTTAAGTAATGCAAACATAATTCGTACAGTTTTTCCTATATGATCTTAACTTTGAAAGAAAATTTTTTTTCCAAAAGTCTTAATGAAAAATGACTGTAATCCCAAAATTTATCATTTGATTAACCTTACATTTAGTTACATTGATGACAAGAAAAAAACAAGTTTTATAATATGAGTAATGAATGGTGTTTACTCATTACTTTGGGGGCATATTCTTCAACAGAAATTAAACATAAAAGATAGAGGAAATGGAGGAAAACCGTTATTTCTAGTTGCTTTTTAATTTTCCTTCTTTTGCTCAAAATTAGGAACTATTTGGATCGGTTAGCAGAAGAGGTAAATGATAAATTGCAAGAAAGTGGTCAGGTAACCATATCAGAATTGTGCAAAACCTATGACCTTCCTGGAAACTTTCTAACACAGGTATTTTTTCTTAATAGTATAATGTGTCTTTTTAACAAATAATTTTAAACAGTGGATTTTAATAAGAGAAAAACACTAGATTTTCTTACCATCAGTTGATTTGTTGCAAATCTATGACTTGATAAATGTTGTAGCTATACATTTGGGGAGTATTTCCTATACGTGGATGACTCTGAAGAGACTGTTCAGAAATACAATGTTCCTGAACCATTAGATACTCTAAAAACAATTAATACACAGAGCTCTAGCACTGTCTTGATGCAACAGCAAGTACACCTAAGTGCATGAATTTATTTAATGCTTTTGATATCACCTATACAGAAACTTTAGCCAGGATATCTACAGTTCTGATTGCCCAGTTATATCTTAAGAAATAACTGCTGAATATTGTGATTTAGAGAGGGTACTACTGGCACATGGTAAGTGAAAGTCAGGGATCCTGCTAACCATGATACAGTGCAAAGACAGCCTCTTCGGCAATGGATTTTGTTTGCAAAAATGTTAATAATACCAATGTCTTTTTTTTTTCTCTCCTCTAAACTGACAGTATAATTGGAAGACCAGCTAAAAAAAATCTCACCTTCTCTTAACTTTGGGTACTTGTGTTAATACACACATTAAGTATCTTGATTTATAGTGTAATAACAACAGAAGCTATATCTTTGAGTTTTTTTAAAGTAGTTTGACATTTTAGAATTGTAAAAGCTCTTTCAAGATAGTAGAATGTGCATAGGCTTTGAGTTAAACAGCTTGATTTAAATCCTGTCTGAGCCACTTATTTGACATTAAGAAAATTATTTCATTTTCTTTGTTCTTCAAGTTGCATATCTATAAACTGGAAACAATTACATCTGTTTTCATAGGCTTCAGTGAGATGTGTCTAGTGAAATATCTGGCACAGTGAAGGCACTCAGTAAATCATCGTTTTGTTTTTATTTACTGAAATGAAGGAAAAGCCAAATTTTACCTGCATATCATTTTAAGAAAATCCAACTTAGAAACTTACCAAATCATAATTGCATGAGATTAATTTGTAATGTGAACAAACTTACTCAGCTAAATTAAGAGAATGAGTTTCCCTACTTCATTTGAAATACCATATAAAGAGTACAGATCCATTTTATATAGCATTTCAGGAGCCTAAGTTCTGTTTCACATGAGCCAGTACATGTTAATCACAGAAAGCAAACACTGTGTTTTGAAAGCACTTTAAAAATACCAGACTTGAATCTAATGATTTCTTATAAAACTATTCTCCTGCTTACATAGCTTCTTTATATTTTTTAATTCTTATATTTCTGTATCCTAAAAACTCATTATGATTATTTATTTATTTATTTATTTATTTTTCTCTATCACAAAAGTACCAGCAGAGCTATCTTCAATAGATTTAACTTATTTTGGGATATGAAATACGTCCAGATCTTTTCATATGTACCTGACCCCAGGCATAGTATAACAGTGGAGAAATAATCTCTTGAGTCTGAAAACAGAGTAAATAAGTCCCCGATTTACAAATGAATTTCATTCCTGGTTGGATTCATTTATAAGTCTGACAAAGTGAGTCTTATACACTTCAGACACCAACATACAATGTATATTGCTTTGTACTTCCTAGAAGTACCGTTTATATCACCACTGCTTTTCTTCTTGCTTCTGGACACCCTGGGCTCTGATTGAGCACTGTACTACTGTACACTATCATACTGTACAGTAAGCACACAGCTGCACAATTGTGACAGTGTCCAGCCAACACGTGAGGTACTTCTGTGATCTACTTGCATCTGTGAATGTTCATAATGCAAGGTCCATTCATATCTGTGAAAGTTCTCAAACGTTCATAAGTCACAGCTCAAATGTTCATAAGTCCAGGACTTACTATACCAAAAAACCACTTTAAATCTTCTACACAGAGATAACTGGTTAATATTTGTGTGAAAGAAAATTATTTTCCAGGCCCTATGTTTCCCTAAGTAGCAGAACCTTGGAATAACATTTATTCCCCACTGTTAGTGTTTGAAGTTTCAGATAGGGTCTTCTCTGATACCCATGTATAAGTCTTGGCTGTTTTTGTTGGAAGCTGCCTAAATCTAGAAAATTAGTTAAATCAGTCACTTTTATTTTACTGGAGAGATAGAGCTTATTAACAAGGGCTAATATGATTGTTAAGCTTTTAATCACATGAGAGATTTGACTCATTTCTTAGCTCTGCTATTAGGAAATTTACAAGACTCTGAACTTTCATTTTACCTTATATATCTTATAGTTTATGCTTATTAAAATTTCTCAGTCACATGATTGATACATAAGCATGCAGCATGAATTGAATATGATTATATCAAGCATATATATATTTCTGTATTTTCACATTAATGAAAATTTACATATTTATACCCAGGCACTAACTCAGCGACTTGGTAAAATTATCAATGGACATATTGATCTTGATAACAGAGGAGTAATTTTTACTGAAGCTTTTGTAGCTCGACATAAAGCACGCATTCGTGGACTGTTCAGCGCTATTACCCGGTAAGTATGTTTTAAGTATATAGATTTGTATATAATTTGGGGGTTTGGTTTTGATTTTTTTCTAGCAGTGGATTCTTTTTTTTTTTGAAACAAAATCTCTGAGGATCCCAGTTTACGAAACCAATAGAAGGGGAGTTTCTATGAAATGAAAGTAAGGCTACTAGAGTCTCATACAAATGCAGCCTTCATTTTTCCTTTTAAATTAATAGGTTTTTTCCATAAACTCTAATTTGCATAGTTGTTTTTATAAATTCCTATTATAACTATAATGAACTAGTTTCAATTCTCCATTTTTATTTTTATTTTTTCTTTCATACAGGCCTACCGCAGTGAATTCTCTGATTTCAAAATATGGATTTCAGGAGCAGCTTCTTTACTGTGAGTTTTGTTTAAACTGTGTATCACTTGGGCTCAGGGTGCAGCTTCCTGGTAGAGTGCTTGTCTAGTGTGTTCAGGGCCCCAGGTTCAATCCCCAGCACACATACACAAAAAATATTATGTCATGTTATTAGCTGCTTGTGTTAAGTCAGCTTTCAGACACTAAAATGAAATATCTTAAGTAATTAACTTAGAAAAGGTTTGGGCTCGGGCTATAGCTCAGTGGTACAGCATTTTAGACATTTGCCTAGAATGTGCAATGACCTAGGTTCAATTCCCAGCACCCAGCACCACAAAAGAAGAACAGAAAGGAGGGGTGCTTATTTTGACTCATGGTTTTTGAGTCTCGAGACCAAGATTGGGGGCACTCATTGCTGTGGGCATCTGGTTGGAATGCCAGGTAATGGTAGTGGGGAGCCTGTGGCAGAGCAGAACCACTGACCTCAGGAGCCAGGGGACAAGGACAAAGAGGAGGTGGCTAGGGTCCCACAGTCCTCTTTAAGGGTGCCCCTCCCACCCCGTAACCTCCCACTAGACCCCACAGCCTGGAAACCAAGCCCTTAGCACAGAGACCTTCAGGAGACATTCACTGCTGAGCAGACTGTTAATTCAAAACTTAATAATTTTAATGTTTTTTCCTTTTTTAATCTTAAGACAATGTTATTAAAGTATTTCACTGTTTGAAAAAGTTTCTATATGTTTTCATGGATTTATCTGTCTGGTATGCTTATCAAACATTAGTATTGGCACCTTCAGAGGAGTAGAATAAAAAAAATGTATGTACAAAATGAAAATCTATGTGTATATATATTTTACATTGAAAGAGACATTAAAATTTATAGGACTATGAATAATTTTTACTTTATTTCTTAGGATTTTTTTATTAAATTTTTAACATGAAAGTAAATTGTATTTTCTTTTTTTCTTTTTTTGGCACCGGGGATTGAACTCGGGTCCTTGCGCTTGCGAGGCAGGCAGCAGAACCACTGAGCTAAATCCCCGGCCTGTAAATTGTATTTTCTACAAAAGTTTTACAGAGTTTGTAGCCATCAAAATATGTATTGTTAAATTCTTAGCATGCAAACAACATATTATCTCCAAAATATCTTGGTTCACTATCTGTTGTTTGTATGTTTATGAAGCTTTTATAGGATAGTAAGGGTTATTTTTAATGCTATACTAGAGCAATTTTTTATAGCAGGATATCTGAAATTTAAGAATTGAACCTTTCTTTTTGCCAGATATCTTTTGATTGTGCTTGCTGATTCACTTAGAAGTAGCTGTTTTACATCTGCTTTGTCTTTTTGAGAGAATTTTGATAGTTAAAGCAAGAAAATGTTCAGTTACATTTTGAGTTTTAAATAAAAAGTGTAAATTTACATGAATGGTTGTCCTATCCAGTTTTCAAACTTGCCTCAGTCTTATGATGGATGGTGATGTTGGTATTGCATTTAGTTAATATTTAGCTTAGCAACTACTTACTATATACTAACTACTGTTCCAAGTACTTTACTTGAATACAGCAACCCTGTGACATAAGAATTGTTATTGTCCCCACTTTAGAGATAGGAAAATGGAAACATAAAGAAATGACTTCCTCAGTGTTACAAAGCTAGTTAGGTTGTGGAGATGAGATTTAGACTTATGCAGTGTGGCTCCAACATCATCAGTTCTTTTAACAATGGCATTTTACTTCTCTTCTTTTTTAATTGGTACATTTTATATGTACATAATAATAACATTCAGCATAGGGAATTTGTACCTGTACATGATCTATCTTGCTTCTTTTTTTCTCCTTATCTTCCCCTCCCCTCAACCCCTCTTCTCCTTATTTACAGAACTTTGTTTCCATTTTTTTCCTTTTTTTTCTTGTCCCTTCCTTCCTTTCCCCCTGCCCTCTCCCTTGATTCCCTTCTCATTTGAAAATTTTCTTCCTATTTCCCAATGTCTATTACACATTTTGGTCCTTATTTACACTTTTGGTTTCTCACACCAGACAAACAGTGTAGTATTTAAATGTGTGCCTGATTCATTTCACTTAAGAGAATGGTCTCAAGATACATCCATTTAGCTATAAATGTCTCAAGCTTATCCTTCTTTATAGCAGAGTAGTACTTCATTGTATTAAAAAAGAACACATCATTTTTATCCATTCATCGGTTGGTGGGCATGTAGGCTGTTTCAAATATTCAGCTATTACAAACTGTGCCGCTTTAAACCTGGGTGTGCATATATCACTGTGGTATGATGCCTTGAATTCTTTTGGGATAATACCAAGAAGGAAAGTAGTTGGGCCAAATGGGACTTCTAGTTTTAGTTTTTTGAGGAATCTCCATACTTATTTTCACAGTGGTTGCACCAGTCTACACTCTCACCAACAGTGAAGAAAGGTTGCTTTTTCCCCACAGCCCTGCCAGCATTTGATATTGGTTGAAAACTAGATCTATATCTTTTACCATGCACTAAACTAAAATTGAAATGCATCAAAAATCTAAATATTAAAACAGAAACACTAAATCTTCCTGTAGAGAGAATAGGTAAAACTCTTAAACACATTGGTGTAGGCAAAGACTTTATGAACAAAACCCTCATCACACGGGAAATCTCAAAATCAACAAGTGGGATCTCTTCTTATTAAAAAGCTTTTTCACAGCAAAAGAAACCAGGAACAGAGTGAAGAGATAACCCACAGTGTGGGAAAAATTTTTTCCAGCTGTTTGTCAGACAAAGGACTAATATCTAGAATATATAAAGAACTCAAAAAAATCAGACCCCCCCCCAAATTTAAAGACCCAGTCCAAAAATAAGCATCTGAAATGAACAGACCCTTCTCAGAAGAAGTAGAAACAGCAGATTAATATAAGGAAAAATGTTCAACATCACTGGTTATTGGAGCGATGCAAATTAAAACAATGCTGAGGCCAGGGATTTAGCTCAGTGATTTTGCCACCTGCTGTGCAAGTGCTAGGACCTAAGCTCAATCCTTGGTACAAAAAAAAATAAAACAATGCTGAGGTTCTGTCTTACTCCAGAAAGAATGGCTGCTATCAAGAAATCAGCCAATAATAATAATACTTACCTTATAGATCCAGTTGAAATGTGTTCCTTTGGCTTAAACTGTGGAAATGTAATAGCATAAGAAATATTTACAGCTTTATTTCACACTCCTGATTCTAATATGGTCCAGGGGTCTTGATTTTTCTAAATATTAGAAAATTGAACTTGGTAGCGCTTAGTGATTGCACCTTATCTGTTCTCGAAGTATTTGGTCATTCACTCTAAAACAAAGTATGCAATAAATAAATAATGGCATTTTGGTTTTTGTTCAAGATTATCCAAACTAATAAATTCTGGAACGTTAATATTAACTATTTTGAGTTACAAGTTCAACATCTCTAGTTGCTAAAAATTTCCCTACATTTATAGCTTGAGTATTTTCATAAATGGCAGGAAAATTCTGTTTAAAATATAATAACTTCATTTATGCTATTTAAACTTTTAAGTTTTTAAAATGGTAAGATTACATAGAATGTGAAATAATAAAGTATTTCACTTTTTAAGATTTATACTTGTTCTGACTTATTTGTGTTTGTATGGGTTTATTTTAAGCTGTACTTGAGGAACTTGTTAATCGTGGACGTTTACGAGGCACTGTGGTTGGTGGAAGACAGGATAAAGCAGTGTTCATTCCTGACATCTACTCCAGGACACAGAGTACTTGGGTAGATTCTTTTTTCAGGCAGAATGGCTATCTCGGTAACTATGTTTTTTTCTCTGAAACTAAAATTTCTAATACTAAAACATTTTTGACATTGTATTTTCCTACCAGATTACAGTGGTTTCCTTTGAGTGTAAAAGTACTCACATTGAAAGTTTCTGTGGATCTTAGAACTGAGCTTAATTCCGTAGTTACTAAACAATTGCAATATAGAAAGGATAAAAGCTGATATTATTATTAACCTTCCAGTTATATTAAACTGATACCAAACTTTTAAGTGTTTTTTTAATTCATAAAAGTGATTATATTGCATGAAGCTGCCCACTTTTTCAGTTAATCATTTCAGGAATATCTTACTGTCAACTTTAGTGTTCATTTTTGTCAGCTATGTAATACTTCAGAAACATTGAAATCATTCTGAATTCTGTTTTTAAAATTAATAGACTGAATTTAGTCATTCAAAGATCAAAAATATATATTAAACTCATTTAGTTTGATTAATTTATAGCACAGCAAACTATGTTCTCAGTAAAAAAATGAAACAAAAAAAACTTCTAATGAATGATGGCACATGGCTGCAAGCCCAGCTACTCAGGAGCCTGAGGCAAGAGGATAAAAGTTCAAGGCCAGGCTAGGCAACTTAGTGAGACCCTGTCTCCATTCTTAAAATTATAAAGAAAAATATGAAGAGCTGAAGGTGCAGCTGGGTGGTAGAGCACTTGCCAAACCTGCGTGAAGCCCTGGGTTCAATCCCCAGTGCTACAAGCAAAAGTAATGAATAATTACTGCCTGTACTACCCATAATGAATAATTTAAACATATGCTAGGTTCCTAGGATTTGTTTATATGATGTTTTTTACCTCCTACAATATATTTTTCAGTATCTTCAACCACAGAACTTGGATTTGAATTTCTTTATAACTAGTTTTCCTAAGGATTATTTCCAGTAAGGGTTGGAGAATGAGGAAAGTTGATATCTTCAATAACTGTTATTTGTCAGTTTAAGTCTGTTTTTATGCTAAACCTTTTTCTAGTTTAAATGAAAATGGAGAAGCTCTAAGTTGCCTGGTGATACATTTTGAAAAATAAATTTTATTCCTTTAACTGTAATAAGCAAAACAAACTAGTTTTGGTTTCTTCACCTAAACCATCATGTACCTTCTTTACCCATATTTTCAATTTCCATACTCTGTAGTCTTCATGTTTCTTCATGTTTTCCTTTGGCCCTTCAGTTGGAAAATGAATAATATCTAGTATTCAGGAAGTACTTGAACCAGTTTTTCTAAAAATATTTTTAATAAAAATTTGGGTTGGTAAAATTAACAGGAAATAAGCTACAATACATTTCTGTTTTATTCCTTAAAAACATTGGAATATATTACATATATAATCAAATAGTAAGTTTTGTTAGAACTTAATTTTTCCTGATATTTCTAAATGGCATAAGTCATTTACAGTTCTATCCAACTTTGTGATGTGTTTCTAGAATTTGATGCTTTGTCCCGCCTTGGAATCCCAGATGCTGTAAACTATATAAAAAAAAGGTATAAGACTGCACAACTCTTATTTTTGAAAGCAGCTTGTGTTGGTCAAGGACTTGTGGATCAAGTGGAAGCATCAGTAGAGGAAGCCATCAGCTCTGGAAGTTGGGTTGATATTTCAGTATGTTTTCGCCTCTTAATTTTTCTGTAAACCAATAATAAGTGATATTTTGTTAATATATGGCTGTTTAAAAAATTTGAATACTTAAAAGTAGACTTTAGAGTTGAATTCTAGCAATTTCTGTTCAAAATAATTGTATTTTATGCTTAAAGTCCTTCTAGCTTTTGAAGTAGAGCAAGCTTCCTTTTAAAGTACATAGTCAACATCCAGAATTCTATAATTTTCAAAACAAACAGCTTAACATTCTTATAAATCCTGACATGAAAATTTATGAGACATTTTACATCTTATCGAAGCCTTTACTTCTTGTACTGGCATCAGGCATTGTGTAGCATTTGTTTATCCCTTATCCATTAATCTCTTAATGTATTAAGGTAAGCTGCTTTAGCACTGATAGTGTTTTACTTCATTGTTCAATGTTGGCCTGCCCTTCATTATGCCAAAAGATAAGTATAGGTAAGATAAACAAGTGGCTAATCCATTATTTTCTAGTTAGGGCTCAGAGCCTCTATAATTTAGCAGAAATTTTCCTGTTTTAGATGCTAACATTTCAGAGATTTTTTTGTTTTGTTTTAGTTCATGCAACAAAACTTATTTGGTGCTTTTTCTTTGCAAGGCATCAACTTTTTGCTCTTGGGAGAGGATACTTTCATTGGGGAGAGTTATTAAAATGACATCAGATAGTAGAAAGAGCTAAAAGGAAATATATTTTGGAAGTAAACTGCTAAATTTGGATTTGTGTGAGAGGAACCAAATGTGACTTGTAGGTATTAGTATTTTGGACAGTTTTGAGATGCCTGTTGACATACAAGTAGGTAAATTAGGTAGGAAATAGGATATATGATTCTAGAGCGCTGGGTAGTGATGAAACCAGAAGTAGAATTTGAGAGATTATCAGTATAAATATGGTTCTGAATGCCACTGGACTTAAATCACCTAACAACAGCATATGTATGTACATTAAAATATATTCACATACGTGTGTGTGTGTCTTCAGTGTATATAACAGTTGGTTTATCCGAATCATACTGTATTTTCACTTCATTTTCATTTGTTATTCTAGCCCCTGCTACCCAGTTCTTTATCAGTGGAAGATGCTGCCATGTTGCTTCAACAGGTGATGAGAGCATTCAACAAACAGGCTTCAGGTGTAGTCTTTAGCAACACGGTTGTGGTCAGTGAAAAATTTATAAATAACTGTGTAGAACTGTTCAGTGAACAGATGCACCAAAAAGCGGAAAAGGTATGTCAGATATCCATTCATCATCAATCTTAACAACATAGTCACATTAGAATCATCTGTTGTCTGTTGATGGGCTGAGTAGTCTACGCAGTAATGAACACTTTATGTCATACATCATTTTCCTTTAAGGGATCCTTCCTATTTTCTCTCTCAGATTTTTTTTTTCTTCATTCTCATCAGAATATATGTTAGAACTCAGAGAAATAATTTTAGAAATTAAAATCACATAAGTGAAATTACTTAATTTTTAGCTAGGTTATCTGGGGGTATTGGTTCAATTACTGCAGAAAAATAATATGTATGGATATATATAAATATTCACTTTATACTGTATATGGTATAATATGTATAACAAATACATTATTTACATATTTAATAAGCCTGAATAAATTTATTAACAGTTTATTGTATTAGGGAGCTTGTACCTAAGAGCAGGCTTTATAAAGAGATGGTGCAAATTGAATACTCATTAATATAGAACTGGTGTTAACGCTACTTCAAAATACTTAGATAGCAGTTGCTCTGCAAACTAATCAATTTGCTAGTAACACAATTTTTTTCCATCTGTAAATTATCTTGTTTGTATACCTCAGCTCGGTAAAATTATGAAGCTCTGCTAGACTTAGCAGATACTAAATCTCTCAACTTGGAAATAGTTCATTGTTCTTAACATAAACGTTTAAAAAGCAAGGATCATCAAGAATGAATCTAAAGGAAAAATAGGTTTATATGGATTAGTGTACAGCTCATATATGATCATTAGTGTGGGATATGGCAATTTCATTATCTTTCTTCCAATCTCAGTTATCCAGGTGACACTGGACTTGGGAGTCTCAAAAAGAAGAGGGTTAACCCATTTATGCAGGAGATTGCCATTTTTTGAAATTCGTGTTACCTAGAATAATTCAAGGAACAAGAATTTGAAGAGAAAGATTTCTTTTATGTTCCATTGTTATGGGCATTCCGAAAATGGGGCACTATGCATAAATGGGTTAAGCAGTGGTAATACTAGACAGTAACAGCAGAAGAGGTGCTGTGTTCTGTGTGCTTATGCTGTGTGACCTTTGTTCATCACGTACACTCATTAGCTAATCGATACAAAAAGCCAAGAACACCAAATAAAGTTATTTTTACCAAGGAGAAATAGCCTCAGAGTAGCAGTTGTGAGACAAGAGTTTCTAGTTCCTCACAGCAGTGAGATGAAATAATAATTAGAATGTAAATGAATACATGAGCAACTCTAATGTATTTTGAAATGCTATGTATTTTTGCCTGTCAAAAAAAAAAGCATGTTTTATTTCAGGAAATAAAAAATAATCCTGTGCATTTAATCACTGAAGATGATCTGAAAGAAGTCTCCATTTTAGAAAATGTTAACACAAATAAAAAGGATAAAAAAGATGAGCGCAGGAGGAAAGCAACAGGTAAATTATTATTAGTAAGAAAGATTCAAAGGTGAGGTTTTTTTATTTGTTGACAATAAACTTTATATTTACTAGGCCCTCTGAAAGACCTTTTATTTGATCGATTCTCCTTTACTTTTAACTGCTAATATCAACTAGATCTTTTACTAATGAATTAAATTTAATCATACAAGTTGAAATATTATTGATTATATATTCTATTTTCTTTTGTGAAACAATTTAATTTCATAGATGTGTTGTCCCTTGTTTCCCTCCTTCCCCTCTTCCCCTCTGTGTTCCAGTTCAGACAGTACCATTTTTTTTTTTTTTTCATTTTGGATTCTGAAACTTGCCACATTTATGCTCAGCACCAGGCCTTTGCACTGGCTGTTCTCTTTACCACTGAAATAGCCCTCATGAACATCAAGTAACTAACTGGTTCCTTCTTTTTATCTGGAGCTCAACATTAAAGGTCCCTTCCTCAGGGAACTTCCTAACTCCTCAGAAGAATAGCCACAGTTGCTCCCTATCATAATATCTTGCCAGTTTCTTTCATCTGTTTTCACTATGTTGTATTTTGTTTGGGAACCTTGTCCATATTATTTAGTGTTCTGTGCCTAGAACCTAGACAACCACTTGGCGTATTTTACATAGTCTCTAAATATTTATTAAATGAGTAAATTTTCCAATGAGATGTTATTTTTTTAATTAAAACTCAAATGAAATTATTCTATGTGAACCAGTATAATAGTAACTTGCATTTTTTTTAAAATATGTGTATTTTCTACATTTAATGATATATTGGGATTTTTAAAATTGATATTTATCCTTTCTCATTAATAAATTTAGCCACATTAAACATACATCCTAAAAAACTCAATTTTTGTTATGAAAATTCATTCCTATTTCTTTGAGATTGTTTCTTTTTTCTTCAAAAATATTTTTTCTAGGACCAGGGATTTAGCTCAGTGGTTCTGGCGCCTGCCTGGCAAGCGCAGGGTCCCGAGTTCGGTCCCCGGTACCAAAAAAAAATATTTTTTCTACAAAATCTTTTATGGTATTTTGTAGTTTCTCCCTAGACTTCCATGAGAACTCTGGTAAATCACTGCAGTAAATCATAGTAATAGTCACACCCCCACATGTTTTATTATATTTGAATCCATAGTTATTAATGGGTCTAATTAATTGGTGACTTTTAGTCATTTTTTTTTGCTTTAAAAACAATTTTAATTAAAAATGTTCTCCCAAAGAGGAAGTTTTAGGAGGAAATGGTAGATCTCCACTTGCTTAGCACATACTTTCCTTTTTTTTTTTAATTAATTTTATTGGTACACTTTAGGTATACAGTATAATGACATTCATCATTGGAAATTTGCACCTTTACATAATCTCTCTTGGTTCTTATTTTTTCTTCATACCCCCACCCTCCCTTCAACCCCTCCATCCCTCCCCATTTACAAAGACTTTGTTTCCATTTTTTCATTTCCTCATATTAATTCCATTCCCTTCTTTCCTTTTCCCTACTCCTCCCACTTCCCCTTCCCCTTTGCCCCTTTTCTTCCTATTTTACATTTATCTATCATAACTTTTAGTCCTTATTTACACTTTCAGTTTCTCACACTAGAGAAACTATTCAGTATTTACACATGTGTGTCCTATTTATTTCACTTAAAGAATATCACCTCAATGTGCATCCATTTAGCTATAAATGTCTCTAATTTCTCATTCTTTATGGCTGAGTAGTACTCCATTTTATAAAAAAACCACATTTTCTTTATCCAGTCTCCAGTTGCTGGGCATTTGGGCTGTTTCCAAGTTTTAGCTATTACAAATTGTGCTGCTATGACCAAGCGTGCACATATATCGCTGTGGTATGATTCTTTGAATTCTTTGGGGAAGATCCGCAGCAGGGGAATAGTGGAGTCAAGTGGGACTTGCAGTCCTAGTTCTTTGAGGTATCTCCATACTGATTTCCACAATGATTGCACCAGTCTACACTCCCACCAACAGTGGGAGCGGTGTTCCTCTTCCCCCACAACCCTGCCAGCATTTGTTATTGGTTGATTTCTTGATAGCAAACATTCTTAGTGGGGTGAGGTGTAATCTCAGCATTGTTTTCATCTGCATCTCTCGAATGACCAGTGATGTTGAACATTTTTTCATGTTTATTTGCTATTTCTACATCTTTGTGTGAGAAATGTCTGTTCATTTCAGATGCCCATTTTTGGATTGGATCTTTAAATTTGGGAAGTCTGATTTTTTAGGTTCTTTATAGATTCTAGATAGTAGTCCTTTGTCTGAGGGACAGGTGGTAAAATTTTTTCCCACATTGTGGGTTGTCTCTTCACTCTGTTGGTGATTTCTCTTGCTGTGCAGAAGCTTTTTAATAAGAAGAGATCCCACTTGTTGATTGTTTGTGCTAGTTCATGGGCAATCATTTTTATTTTTTTTGGATCAACTAGTGCTTTGTTCTCATTGATAGTGCTGTTATTTTGCAGCAGTTTTATTGCAGTACAAGGCATCGTGTGGAGCATGATGGTCTTTTGCAAGGAAGTTAGCAAATTTTAAAAGTACATTCATTTCAGACAGGTGCTTTTGAAAACAGTATTTTTCCATCATAAAAGCAAGAGGAAAGTAAATTAATAGAAATTTTATTTCTAGGTTATGATAAAATCTAAGGTAATTCAACTTAGAATTTAGGAAACATCTTTAGTTTATAGAAATCACTTTAATTTATTGAAACAATCTTCTTTGAAGAAAAACAATTTCAATATTTTTCATTGCTTACAATACACTTTATTCTATTTTATAGAATGGGTATTTTAAATTTAAATATCTAATGACGGGGAAATGAATGATATCTTGTGTTAGCCTTCTGTCAGTGTGACAGAATACATGAGATAAACACCATGATAGGAGCTCATAAGCTCACACAATCACTTGGCTCCACTGTTCCTGGGCCAGCAGTGAGGCGAATTATGACAGAGAGTACAGTAGAGCAGAGCTGCGCACCTCATGCATTTCAGATCTAAACTGTAACACATTTTAAAATTTTTATTTACAGTGTTTGAGTTTGTTTCATAATTTATATTTTTATATCTAACTAGATGACAATGATTTTTTTATATAAACAATTTAATATTCATAGTCAACATTTATTGAGCACCTGTTGTGTTTCAATCATTGCTGTAACCTCAAGCACACAAACACTGAGATACTCTCCTTTCTCTGAAGAAATTCATGATCTGCTTGAGTGCTTGGTGAGGCTTATTCATGATGTCTCTGCAAAGCATGGGTAATCTGTCGATCAAGAATGCAAAACCAAGTAGACTTAAATTTGCAGAGGAATCTAGTAGAAAGTATTAATGAGGCTGTGATAACAGATAAGCAGATGGAGTAAAAGAGGAAGTAGAAGAAAAGAGAAAGGATCAATGTAGCTAACCACAAATAAGACGTAACTGCAGAAAAGAGATGACATTGGAGAAAAAAGAGACAGTATTTGAAGCAGGCAGGCTATCTAAAAATATTACTTAAATTCAAGCAATTTCCTATTTTTATTGATTGAATTTACTATTTGTATTTAAATAAATAGTACACTTAAAAAGAATCTCAGATTTTTTTGTTTTGCCTTGTGTTTTTCTGCTGTAAATTTAAATACAACAATATAGTATCATCATTTTCTAAAAAATGGTATTTAATTACATAATACTAACTATGTCATTTTCCACCAGAGGGCAGTGGAAGTGTGAGGGGAGGAGGCGGGGGCAATGCCAGAGAACACAAAATTAAAAAAATCAAGAAGAAAGGAAGAAAAGACGATGATAGTGATGATGAGTCCCAGTCATCTCACGGTGTGTAGCTATATTTTACTTTTTCCTTTATGCATAATTTCTTTAACATATTAAGAGGCATATAATTAGGTAACTATCTTTATACAGGAAATACTTGCTTTGCCCACTTCCAGTGGCCGTAAATTTCATTTACCACAGTTTGGTTAAGTAATAACCAGTCTACCAGCAACATGATTCAAGCAGTTACCAAGTGCCCCTGGTACATTAACTGAATAATTGCATAAGGTACTGTGCAGATTTCTTCAGGCCACAGACCACTATAAAATAATGGATGCATGTTGGGATCTTTGATAGTTGGGTCACTTATTTTGAGGTTGGTCAGTAATTAAGCACTACACATCTGTCAGTTTTTATGCTCAAACAACAAAGAAGATGGTTGTATTGTGTCTGTCTCCTAGTGATAAACCCATGTGATTTTATAAAAATTCATAATTAAAAGAGGAAATTAGCCAACAGAGATGAAAGTGCAACAAAGATGTGAAAAGTGATAACACTGGAAGTAAAATTCGGAATCAAGCATAATAGAGTAATAAAAGGAATGGCTCCACAAAGAGGAACTTAGTAAAGGCACACATATTAACATAAATGGGAAAAGTGGTTGTGACAAAATGGATGAAAATTTCTTAGATAACATGACATAGGCAAAATGTTCACATTAGAACTCTTAGAAATACTTGAAGCCATTAGAAGTGCAAAGGATAAAATGTTGGAAACTGATCCAGAGAGTATTAAGCATCCTAATTTTTATAACACATAAGTTCCTTATGTCTAAGGGGGAGAATTCATTAAGTACATATTTCTTTTCTAAACTTGTTAGTGTTTGACAAGGTTTAGTCTGCAAGAGATGTGATGTTTTGTTATTCTAAATAAAATGTTTTTTCATTTTTCTGTTTTAAAAAGCTAATAAAACTGTGATACTGCCCTCATCTTCATTCCTGCAAAAGGAAAATTTTTTAAAATCTTCAAATAATAATTTGAGGTTTTTCCTTTAATTCATTACATATGAGCTATAGCCAGGATGTGCAGACATCAAAGGAGGTGGCCGTAGCTGTTAATGTGCTACTTGTAGTAGCACAGTTGCTTAAAATTTTAAAAATATTTTTAAATAGTGTTAATTAAAGGGGAAGTATCTTTGTAGAAACTATTTGCTCTATCTACCCTTATTTTAAATAGCATTGAGACTGTCTTACATGTTTTTTAACTTTCCACTGATAAATTTCCTTTTTCCCCAGAGGCAGCGTGGTAAAGAAGCATTTAAAAAATACTTCTGTAATATCTGTAATTCTAAATAGATGAGGCATGTGATACTTCTTTTGTGCATAGATTATTGAGAGGAGCTATAAAAGTAGTAAAACCATTCTACCTTAAAAAATGTAATTCAATGCCTTTGGAAAAGGGTTGTATTATAATCTTGGAAATGGAGGATGAAATTAGATTTTCAGCTTAAAATACAGGATCCATTTCAGTATGAAAGATTCCTGAAATGAGATATAATTTTAAAACTTCTAAAAAGGCAGCTAGGGAGCAAATGGGAGATTATAGACCACTTACTTTGACCATCAAGGTGGACTGCGGATGTCACAAAAGAAGGATAGTATTTATCCGTCTATTACCTGTGATTTCAACTGCTAACATCTTCATATTGAAAATTGATTTTTTGAGACATATTATTTTTATTGCTAAGGTTTTACTGCAGCATAGATAACCTAATTTAGCTGGAAATAATCACTTTCAGACCTTTACAATTTCTAACAGAAATATTGTTAGCTTTCTTTGTCTGCAGCCTATGCTTTTTCAGGTAAATGGATAGGCATGGCATTTCCACAATTAATAATTATTTCCACTATTTTAGCTGCACACCAATTTTCCATAGTATAGAATCATTTTTATGGAGCAAAAATAAATTTTGAGTGTAAAATTATGGAGGTTTTTTTTTTTCATCTCTGCCTTTCCAGAAAGGTAATACTTAAATAATTCTGTTGGAGTTGTGGTTGTGATGATTATAAAAACTTTCTGAAGATACTACATAAATCACAAGGATGATTTAATTTCTAATACCCATTTATGTAAAGGATATTCTGTTCAGTATCCATTTTTTAACAAAGAGAAATTCTTTTTTCCTGAAATTGTTTTGATTTCCACCTTTTGCATCATCTAAGTTAGATGAAGGAAAAAAATCATCTTTTTTACTTGCTGATTGCCTTTTAGGAAATAATTTTTAAGTGAAGCTTTAAAATAATCACTTAAACTGCATATCCCAATTTTTAAATTATTTTCTTACTGGTATTTGACAAAGAATTTTATTGACATAAAAGTTTGTTTCAGAGACTCTATAGTAGACAATGAATGGATTACCATCTTATTAACATTTGTTACTGGAACCTTACTTGCTTTCTGGTTGCTTACATGTTTTGGTGTTCATCTCACCCTCTCCCCACCATTACTTGTGCTTGTTATAGGAAAGAAGAAGCCAGAGATAACTTTCATGTTCCAGAATGAGATTGAAGATTTTTTAAGAAAACACGTACCAGATGCCCCTGAAGAATTTATTTCTGAACTTGCTGAATACTTAATAAAGCAAGTATAAAACATATTTTTTTCTGTTTTATGAGAGAAACTTAAGTATAATTTTGGGCAAGATCTTAGAAAAAAAACATAAATTTTAAGTGTTTTCTTTTCAAAGTTTGAAATTCAGTCTCACAACTAAATTCCAGATTTCATTTGCCCACAGAAGCAGCTCAATTTAACAAGCATTTAGTATTTTGGTAAAGACAGTATAGGGAAAAAAAAAAAATGCTGAGAACCTTTGGAAGCATCCTTTTAACTGATCTTACAATCTTAATTCTTAGTGGAAGAGAAAATCACCAGTACTAATCTCAGGTTGATCTTGTCCATAGCATGAAAAATAACATCCACAAGGAAGAAAAGTTCATTTTCTATTTTTATTTGACAGAAAGTGGGAAGAAAGTGAGGAACAAATTGGCCTCAAAAAGAATAAGTTTAGACACTCCTACTTTATGAATGAGCCAAGGCTAACTTTATATGTAAGAATAAATGAAATTATATATAACTTGACCATTATTAATCAAACCTGGTCTTCCTTCAAGTTAGTCCCAGTATTTAAGTTTTCATAAATAAAATCCAGGAATCCACGGCATCTAACTTTTTATTTTAGAAATACAGCTTTAGTAATGAGAATTATTTAAATTTAAATAACTTTTTGTGCAAAAGTCCATTACAGAAACATATTTTTCATGTGTAAAGAAGATGAAATAGTTACTAGTCATTTACCATTACTTTTTTAAATGCTGTATTTTAAAAGTTCAGTATAAAAAGATGTATTCAGCCCATTATCTTATAATACTTTGGAAACTGAGAATTTGCTTAAGTTGTAATTCTTGAGAAGGGGAATAGATTTATAGTCTGCTGTTCTCCACATCAACTTTAAAAAGCTATTTTTGGTTTGTCAAGTGTTGGTTATTGTTGTTCTTATCATCTTTAACTTTGAGTACTCTAAAATTCAGAAAAATAGTCCATTTAAATTATAATTCCTGGAACTGGGAAAGAAATTCTTAGTGAACTTTTCTCCAAATTAGTTTTATTTGTTTGAAAAAGAGATCTTTTTCTTAAGCCTTATTTCAATACATGTAAAATTTCTTATTTGCATAAATGCAGTACATTTTAATAAACTAATTATATTTATCTTGTGTACAGACCTCTTAACAAAACCTATCTCGAGGTGGTACGTTCAGTATTCATGTCTTCAACTTCTGCTGCTGGAACTGGTAGAAAACGCACAATCAAGGACTTACAGGAAGAGGTTTCAAACCTTTACAATAATATTAGGTTATTTGAAAAGGGGATGAAGTTTTTTGCAGGTATACTTAATGCTGTTTTTCACTGATCTCATAATTCTGCCAAGGAGGTTAGTTTTAATAAAGTGTCTTTCTTTTTCAGATGATACACAGGCTGCTCTTACCAAGCACTTGCTGAAGACAGTGTGTACTGATATCACTAACCTCATTTTCAACTTCTTAGCTTCAGATTTAATGATGGCAGTAGACTCTCCTGCAACCATTACAAATGAAGTATGTTAGTAATTTATTTGCCACTCTTGATGTATTTTGAGTCTGTGCACATTTTATTTTTCCTCATTTGAAATAGCTTAAAAGAAAAAGAAAATTTAAGAAAAAGTATTTTAGAAAATCATCCAAAAGATTTTTAGGATGGATGGATGGATGGTAGACATTTCTGGCAGAATTGGTAATATAACCATTCTACTAAAAGCAGTAGTGCTTAACTGCTTTGGAATAAGCACATTTGTTTAAAATTCATTCACATCTTCCCCTTTCCTGTTCATGTAATAGTTCCTTAATATCCTGACCCAGTGTTCATATCTTTGTAGTCATTTTCATTTAAAACTACCATCTCGGGCCGGGGATTTAGCTCAGTGGTTTCGCTGCCTGCTGTGTAAGCGCAAGGACCAAAGCTCAATCCCCGGTACAAAAAAAAAAAAAAAAATCTCATTTAAATACTTAGATAATTCTAATTCTTTTTTTAATTCTAATCTGAGACTAGAATTTTTTTTTAAAAGTTTGTCTTTTCCTTTCAATGTAAGATAAAACTGTGGCTCCTATTTGTCTAGAGAAGGAAAGTTGTAGTTCAGTGATGGTGATTTAAAGCTTTCAGTGATAACAAACAGCCCTGCGGCATGCATGCCATAGGTCACCACCACTATTGTAGTCTGTCCTTAATATAAAAATGACAATCACTCTTCCTTCTCTTCTTTTCCTCCTCTCTTCTTCCATTTCTCATTCTTCTTGATCCACTTAAGGTTAGAGATGTAGAGACAATGAGGAGGTGAACTTGTCTTCATTTGACAGACTGTGTATAACTGACTTTAAACTAGGTCAAAGTAAATCAGCCTAATCTTTATGACCTCTGCTAATGTTGTTGTTGCCAACTCGGAAGCATGCGTTTTCTTGAGGTATTATTTAGTTTCACATGACTCCTTTTTTTATAGTAAGCAACAGCTTCCAAACCTTCAAGCTGAAGTACAGTTTCTTCTCCCCCTACCCCGCCAATGTGCTGGCCACCTTTCCTTCTTTAGCATTTGCAACAAATCCCCAGTTGTCCCTGTGGACAATTCTATGTTTTCTGCCCCTCCATCAGTTTCTGGTTTAAGAAATAAAGGTCTTGTTCCTTGCCCCTAAAGGGCCACAGAAGGACTGGTGCAAAGTGAGACAAGAAGATACTAAGTTGCCCCCATCTTCCCAAACTGTGCCCTTCAGGCACTGTTGTTAAACCATTTTGTCAGGCCTCTTATAGAAATTTTCCACTAGAAGGGACTATCTGACTCTGGTCAAGAATACCACCAAACTACACAGAATATGTACATGTGGAGAAAGATGCTGAGAAGTCTTCCTCTGGTACAGCATAATAAGCATCTGTCCCTGGACAAGACCTCGGCCCCCGTCCCCATTCTGTAGGCACTTGATCTTTTAAGTGACTCCCTCTTCACCTGGCATTGGAGAAGAAAAAGCACTTTGTTCCCACCCCAAATATTCTGCTTCCCACAAGTCTTCTTATATTGCTGGAGCAAGGGGAAGAAATAGCATTTATCTAGCCTTTTTGGCTGAATAACTATTGGCTAGCTCTCTGTAGAATGTTTTTAGCATACCTCTATCCATGTTTTTGATCTAAAATTCAAGAACAGATGAATTCCACTCAGAATTCTATTACAGTAACAAATACACTTTGTTTATTTGTTTTGCTTGATCTTATATATACCACATGTCCAAAGCACAATGCTAAAAGAAATTTTTTTTCCCCTACAGGTAAGAAAAAAAATTTTAAGTAAGTTGCCAGAAGAAACCAAAGTAATGCTCACAAAACTCCACAACTCTCTGAATGAAAAAGTAAGTAAAGTTTGATTCTAGTTAATTGCCACAGCTAGAACTTTGTTTTATAAAGTTCTTCAGGTACCATAAAAAATTTAAGCCAAACTAAAACTCATATTCTGCACTCAGATATCTCTTTGGTAAATACAGGAGACCAAGCTGAGAATGTTTTACCATTTGTTTCCCTAAATGACAGTTGCTAATTTAATGCCAAAGTCCCCGTTTTAAAATTTTTATTTAGAGTATAAAGTAACATTTCTTTAAGCACCTATATATAAAAGTAAATTATAGTATTAAATATCTTTTCAGAGCATAGAAGACTTTTTTTCTTGCCTAGACTCTGCAGCAGAAGCTTGTGATATTATGATGAAAAAGGGAGAGAAAAAGAAGGAAAGGTAATGTTGAATTAAGCTTTATTAATACTTTCATGTGAGACATTTCATATTTGAAAGTTGAATATGACTGACTACCTTTCTGTGATGAACTGTATCTGAATGGATATAGATACTCACACATTGATTCAGAGTCTTAATACAGTTAATTATTGTTCTCTGACCCTCATGATGACAAAGCAGACTTCCTTAATCCCGTAGCTGATTAAGTCTGGGACTTTTTATTTGCTTTGGAACCTTTCTTACAGAAAATCTTATATAAGTATGGGCAGTTCTGCTTGATCAACAGCAACTTAAAACAAAAAGTTTATTTTGAATATCTCTGTCCTGTACATTTTTCTATAATTTTCTAACATATTATTTTATTCATGCTTATATATATATATATATATATATATATATCTCCCATATTTAAAGGATCCCTTAAAGTATTATGGAATTAGAACACTAAACTAGAGAAGCTAAAAAAAATGAATGCAGAAGGTAAGAATGGAGGTTGGTGAGAATTTCTTACGTCACGCTTTTGTGTGGTTTTATTGTTTTTTAGGCAGATACTGTTCCAGCATCGACAAGCACTGGTTGAACAGCTAAAAGTCACAGAAGACCCTGCTCTTATTCTGCACCTTACAGCAGTCCTCTTGTTTCAGTTCTCAACCCACAGCATGCTCCATGCACCTGGAAGATGTGTCCCACAGATCATTGCTTTTCTTAATAATAAAATTCCAGAGGTATAACATTTTCATTAGATTTGAAGTTTTTCAAGCTTTTAAATTCTGAATGTTTTGAGTGAGTAGATGTGAGTCATTGTCAATATTCAGGGACAGAAAACCATACTAATATTATTTACCTGCTTCCAAGAATGTGAACAGTTAATTAGGGACTGATTTTTAAATTTTAGCATAGCTCAGGAACCTTTCAGTATCTTATAATATTCATAGTAAAAAATATGGTGAATTTGGAAATTATACTTTCAGAAAAGATCGAAGAATGTCAGATCTTCTTTTTCATCCTAACTTATTTAATAAGGACTGATTCAAATGTTTTGTCCTATACACATTCTTAGGAGAAACTCAATCCCTCAGCTAAAAAAATTTGCCTTCTTTGAGCCTCCTTATCATTTTGATTTTATCTTTAGTAATTGTTCCTAGCTAAGTCAATTTATAGTAAAATGATCTGCATTCATGTTTTATTTTCCCTGAAGTATAAATTCTGTAAAATCGGGGGACCTTGTTAGATTCAGCTTTCTACTTACGTGGCCAATCTTTTGTAAAGTTGAAGACCTTCAATGTGTATTGCCTCAAAAAACTCTACTTTATCTGTTCCACAGAAAATTTAATTGTGCTTATTACCTTTTCTTACTGCTTTTCACAGGACCAGCATACACTTCTGGTAAAGTATCAAAGTTTGGTTGTAAAACAGTTAGTAAACCAAAAGAAGACTGGGCAGGGAGAGGATTCCTTGAGTGAGGAATTAGACAAAGAACAACATGATGTCACCAATACCACTCGTAAAGAGCTCCAAGAACTTTCTTCTTCCATTAAGGACCTTGTTTTCAAATCCAGGAAATCATCCGTGACAGAAGAGTAATATCTTAATTTACTTTTGTTCTATAGTGAGCATTTTTCCCAAAGTTAAATGTGAGTGGTCAAAAATATTGTCACTCACAGCTCCTTTCTTCCCCCATCAGCCTCCTCCCCCACACACAGTTCAGATAAAATAGTAATGTTGTATTAAATGTAAATCTTTGTGTTTTTTTGTTTTCTTTTTGGTACCGGGGATCGAACTTTGGTCCTTGTGCTTGCGAAGCAGGTGGCAGAACCACTGAGCTAAATCCCCAGCCCAAATGTAAATCTTATAAAGATGTGAATTTTGTAAATTGAATTCTCATGGAACTCTTCATTTTCACATAAACTTTATGTGGAATTTTTCACATAAAAATTATTTTCACATAATTCTAAGTAATTGTATGTTTCTGGTTTATTTTCTTCAAGATGGTAAACAATAAATTTTTTGATACTTTTCATTTCTTAAGAAAGGACTTATGTGCTATTTGATTTTCAAGTACTATTACTATATTTGTACACATTTAGGCAGAAACTTAAAATGTCATGGCTTTTAAAAAAGAAAAATACCTTTGGTGTGTGAGAAATAAAATAACTCATTTTAAAATTAATGGAAAAATGTTTCAAAACCAAAATACAGAAATTTTCAAATATATATATATTTTTTTCTAAGCCTTGCTCTTATTAAGTACCTGTGTGATAAATAATTAATCTGCTTTTTCCTATGGTGAGAGGATTTAAATCATTAGAACTTTCTTTTCCAAAAATAGAAACCTTGTTTATTAAAAAAAAAAAAAAAAGATATTCTTGCCTTCTAAAGATTACTAGTTAAAAGTAACTAAAATGGTTCTTTGGAGTAATCATTTCAACCAAAGGAATTTTAAAGAACAATTTTATTGTTTATCAAAAGAAATTTAGTTATTTTTAATATGATGATAAATTTCAATTATTAAAATGCTATTTTATATAATTCCTTGTATAACATTTAAAACTATATATTTATTTTAAAATGTTTAAATACAGTGATCAGAGTACCTCTACTCCATTTTAGACAGAAGTATTAATCTTGAGTGAAAGTAACTCATGTAATTTCTGACTAAGAATCACTATTAAAGTTGTTAGGGTTATAACATTAAGTTTAAAAATGTTTTCCCAGGGGTAATTTTCTATTATACTGTTTTATGAGCAAAAGAGAAAAATGACAAATCCTCTGTAACTATAGACCCCAATTTAGATTTGTTTATTCAGCTTCCATAATATTGAACACCCAACCAGTTACTCAGCCTTCGCTGAGAAATCTTATCATTTCTGTTTCAACATATACCAAAGTAATCTGTTTGTGCTAAACTAGATCGTAGAAAACAGAAGTGACAGTGAAGCCATTAAAATACTTCTGACTTAATTTGTGAAAATAAGAGACAATGAAGCAAATAAAAAGTTCTTAATCTCTTTGCATAAAACATTTTTCATTTGTCAAAACGGTTTTTATTTTTCCACACTAAAGAACAGGTTTTATTGTTTTTGAAAATAAAATTACATAGCTAATTTTGTATGTGAAGTTCAAATTTCATTAATAAAGTAAAAATAACAGTGTTTACTGTGATCGTAATGGACAGTGTTAAGAATATTATTTACAATAAAGTTACCCATTCTATTAAATGTTAATGGCACTTCCAAAATTTCATTATATTAATTAATGCTAAAGTTGATTTGTGGATTCATTCTGTGGAATGTATTTATATTTTCAATTTTCATTCTGAATGTCATTAAAGGATTTGATTTTTTCTTACACATAAATAATTCCATAGTTCTCAGTGTCTTTCATTACTTAGAAATTTCCCATTCATGAACCATTTCATCATAGTAAATCACTTCTCAGCCAGATTTCAGTAGATGCATAGCTATATTCTTCTATCTGCTACTTTCTGTTATTGCAGTTACAATAGAGATTGGAAAACATGCCCTCCTCTTCATGTTCAGGTGTGTTGCAGCCACAGAGCCACCTGTTTTTGAAGAAAACCCACTTCTGGCCATCTGAATGATAATGCCATATTAGAATCTTATATTAAAACAATTAAATAATAGTTGCTTAACTTAGAGAACCATTTTTAACTTTCTAGAGAAGTGCTTTAGTAAGATCAAAAAGGACCAAGGATAAGGTTAAGATGTCGCAGTGATGTAGAGGATACTACAGTCTGTAGATTGACAAGAAATGGTTCATTGCTTTTTCAGAAATGCCACTCAACCTATGCCCAAATGTGACTGCTTTCTACCAATGACATAACTTATGTTAGGTGAATATGGGAGGATGGAAAGTTTGCTTTCTTTTGCTATGACCAATGAAGCCTTTATCCCAGTTTATATGGGACATGAGATAAAAACAGACACATAAAATCAGGTGGACATTTAACACAAAATCTGGAATTTTTACTTTTTTTCTTAACAAAAAAAAGCCAACCCAGGGCTTCACACATGCTAGGCAAGCACTGTACTACTGAGCTGCATCTTCAGCCCTGAGAACACTAATAAAGTGGCTGTTAGAGTGACCTGCAGAATCACACAAGTTGGACCTTGAAGGCTGCATGAAGCAAATGAAGAACAAATAGAAGAGATCTGCTCTAGACTGATAATGTAACCCTGACCTTCATGCTTTCAGAAAAAAGTTTTTGTCTCACATCACAAAAAAAACTACATTAAAATTGTATTAAATTTCTGTACATTGCTAGTGTTGTGTTGTTTCTCCACATTTGCCCCTAATTGGATCTCTGTTTCTCTTAAGTATAATTGGCAATCTTGCTGTTTGTTTTGAAGAGGAGGGATGGGGTTATGTTGATGGTGTAATGAATGAAAGAGAGGATTTAGTGGATTTAAAGCCTTGGCTTAGGAATTTCCTGGATCTTGTATTATAGCTGAATATGAGAAATACAAGTGCAAATTTTGAAAATATTCCTTATTTTCAAGCAGGTGACTGTAATCACCAATTAAAGTTTAATGTATTTTGACAGAAGTGAACAGAAGATGGTATGGCAGAAGAAATAGAATTCAGACTGTCGGCGGAGAGGCTGAATGTGACCTAAGTCTGTAAAGAAAAAGGATTAGCTTCAAACAAATAGGAGAAGGGAAAGGGTGTCTTTCTGGACAGAGAAAAGGAGGTGCAGAAGTACTGTGACATTAATTTTCATGAAATAATGAGACATTTGGGAAGCCCTAAAGTATGAGAAATAAGTGATCTGGAGAAGTAACAAGATGAAATGGAGACACCAGGGGAATATCCTGAAATGCCTTATGTAATAATATAAAAAGTTTATTATCCTAAAAACATGCAGAACCTTTAAAAGATTAAATTAGCCAGGGAATAAGGTGATTTGATTTCTCTTTTAACAATTATTTCCATTCTGGAAGGCAATTTGATAATTTACCAAAATCCTATAAATGTATGTATTATTAGTGAAAATTAATGCCTGTAATGTGGATTTAAAAATGTATTCCTGTAGTAGACAGAGAAACAACATGTCTTACATAGAAAGGGAGCAATCTTCTTGACTCTGAAATAACTTTTATTCAGAGGGTAGTCCACCAAAGAAACACCAAAAACTCCCAAAATGTGTCTGGTTTTTTTTTCATTGCAAAATTAAAGCAGTTTATCAAATTGTTTGATAAGGGCTGGTAAGGGGAACTGAGCCTCTAACCCTTCCCAAATCTATTATATAGACCTCAAAACTAGATAAGTTCTTGAAGGCATGAAATAAGGTTTGTATACAACATACAGTTACTTAAATAGTACCTAATCAATGTGAATGAACATTCAAGATTTCTCTTCTTCCCTTTTTCCTACCTAATCTAAGTCTTTGTGATTTATATTTTATATAAATGATCTGTGGTTTTTGGTATTGAAGAAAATAATTAGAAGGAAAAAAGCAATATTATGTATTTCATTATGTTGCAACCATTCGTCGCAGCCACTTTAAAAATAATACTGATTTGAAAAATCACAGTGCATTAAGTGATAAGATACAGAAGTATGATGGGATTCAGCACATGCTACCCCCAAAATATTGCATCTTGGCATTTGAGAAAATTGCAGAAGCAGGAAGATCTCTCACACTTTCACTTCTTCCTGGGGCAGGTCACAAAACCTAGGAAGGTCACCCTCTTACCTCCCACCCTTCTCCTCTGAAGCAGGTCATAACACCTTCATTTGAAAGATGCCCACTCTACTCAAAAAATGGTGGAGGGAAATCTTTATCTCTGAGGACACAGATGTAAAGAAAAATCTGGACAAAGAGGACTTCCTTGATAAATTTCAAGTTTTATACTCCTTTGTTCACAACTATTCACTTTTTCATCAACCTAAGCATGAAAATACACAAATTACTTAACATGTCTCTGAATCTTCATTTCTGAAGATTCCCATGTCTCATAAAATATACATAAATGTGGATGCTTTTTTCTTGCTAGTCTGCCTTTTGTTGTAAGGGCCTTGGGCATGTACCTAGGAATGGGAAAGGAATTTCTCATATCCTATAACTGATCAAAATGCTCTTGGTATTGTAATTAAATATGTTATACCACTGAAACTGTACATATTTATAGGTAGTATTAGACATATATAAACATTTACACAAACCTTTCCTTATATAGTTAATGCTTGTACATGAAATTCTAACGAGATAAGTCAAACATTTGGGCTATGGCTATCAGATTCCAAGTTATTTTAATTTTTCTTTATATATTTTTCATTCTTGTTCAATGTTTTCTGAAAGAAGCATTTTTATATTTGAATAAACTGATATTCTACCATTAATATTTCTATGTAATGAAATAGAGAAAAGATAGAAAAGGTCCAGACTGACCTTGAAATACTAATTTTTTATGATTGACATGATCTATGTAAGAAAAATGATGAATTAGAGGGATGATGACAAATTTAAGAGGTTATTTAATAATGTAGAGCCAACAGAAGTTAGGCAGTGTTGGCAATGTTGGAGAATAAGTGAGGAGAGAGAAAAGTCTAATATTATGGGTAGATGATTGTGCCATACCTCAACATAGGAAAAACAGCAAAGTAACAGGATTGGAGAGGGGAGAAAATTAAGAGGTTTATTTGGAATTGATGAGTTTGAAATGCCTGGGGACTTCTAGACAAAGATCCCAGTAGAAAACTGGATACAAGTATAAAACCTTGGGAAATGATACCTGTTGAGAGTGAGGATGTGGAAGTGATACATATAGTTGGTTCTAAAAGGAATGCTTTGAATAAAATGACTCATACTTAACAGAGGATTACACTCTAGTGAAGAAAGAATTAGTAAAGGGAGAGTAATGTGAGGATGCTAAAAACGAAGAAAATCAGAAGAGTATAACTTAAGGGGAACTAAGGGAAGAGAGTTTCAAGAAGAAATTGACATAGCCAGAGATAAGTTCTTTTAAGATTATCAACTGCCTTTAGGTGCTTCAAAGAAATCTTCTATGATCTTAAGGGTTTTTTGGTGAAGTGGTGCAAATGAAAGACAAATTGCATTAAAGCTACGGAGGGTGAAGAAAGTCCCGAAGTTGAATCAGTGTAGATGCCCTCAAAAAAGCATACTGCAGACACAATACTGAGCTCCAACCTGACCTCTGAGTTGCTCATGGTGTTGCAGTTGAGTTTTATCTACCCAGCTGCTTTCAGATCCAGGCCGCTTCAGACAGGCACCCCTCCAGACGCAGTTGGAGGGTCCTGGCTCACGCAGAACTTGCAGATCCTGGCAGCAATCCACTGGATTCCCCCCACCACTCCCTGCTCCTCTGGCCTCTTGGCTGTACTGACATCTGGTTCCACACTACAAAGACACAGAGGACACTGGACCACCAGACCACTGTATTGGGTAAGTGGAGCTATCATCACCTCCCACTGGAATCGGGACTATCTTCAGGGGAAGGGCAGCTGGAACCTGCAGTACAACCCTGCAGAATTCAACCCTACAGGAGGGCAGGGAGCTCAACTTGGGACTTGCAGCCAGAAATCTGCCCAAATCTCACGGGTCTACGACTGGCTTACTGAGACTCATTGACTTATATCTGCACACTGCTACCCACATTGTCTATTGTGACAACACAGACATACCCTGAAAGAGGCCCTTCATTTTTATTTTTATTTTTTATTTCTAAAATTAGCATTATTGGTTTCTTTTTCCTCTTATCTTTAATTTATTTTTCTTTTCTCCTACTCTTTGCAAATTTTTTTCTTTCCTATTTTTTCTTCTCTTCTCTTTCCTTACTCTCTCTCTCTCTTACACTCACTCACCCTCTTGCTGTCCAATATTGTTCATCTCTCTTTTTGTCCCTGTTCTGGCCCTCATTCGGAGTTCTTTATTTTTCTATTTTTCTCTTTTTCCTTCTCGCCTGTGTCCTTTGGCCTCATTGCTAACCTTCCCCTATACTTCTACCTATCTATCCCTCCCTTCCCAACCCCTTCTAACTCCCCATCCCAAAGGGTAAAGTTGTTATATTGAAGAGTTTATTCACTATATGTTAGGTTGGTCCTCAATCATGATTTGATCATTCCATGAAGGTTCTAATTACAAGCAACAAAGATACTTACAGTAAGCAATTTCAAACTATCAACCCAGGAGTTAAATCAAGGACAGTACCAAAAACAAAAATGAGAAGACATTTAA